AACCATAACACAAAATCCTCCTAGACCGGAGCTTTCTGGATGTAAACTAAGCGGTGTTTTGTTAGATGTAGATATGTAGCTGGTAATTCATTTCATTTATGCTCCCCATATATCCTGATTTGACTTAAACGTTCCTAGTAAAAGCGAGGAGTTGGTATCCCTATCTTGTCCTCCTTTTATGACTAGTCGCTCCCTGTACTTTAACTGAGCAAGTGTGTAAAGTGGAAAGGGAGGCAAACAGGATAACCTGTATCAGTCTTTGCGCCGCGAAGCGTGATATCCACAACTGGTAATTAATTTGGCTCTACCTGCTGGTGCAGCATAATGTGGTGGGAGCATGCAGTCTACCACATCGCAGGTCTGGTGGTGCCATGCAGCACAATCGGCCCGCATGCATGTGCTGTGGAAATCAGCTGACGCCATCTGTGTCATCTATAATTTTACACACTAGTAACGGGTTAGATACAAAATGGAGTCTTAAAGAGACATTTCAAAAGCTACGGTAGTACCAAGCGTAGGTTTGCTCTTCAAAGGTATAAATGATTGTAAACCACACTGAAAGTCATCTTAGACGCAGTTTCACCACGCAGTGGAAGCTTTGATCAGACATTCAGGATCTTGCATATGATACCAACAGTAACCACTCTAGGAGGAAGAGGAGATGTAAGGGGGGAAATACCACGACCCAAATTGCCCTCATCCTAACCCTCACATACAGATGCGTGATCATCTTTAAAATGTTTTACGCCATTCGACTGTCAATTGTTTCACCACTAATGCTCGAGTATCCCGCCGCCCCATTAACTGTGTTAGGAGTCTCCTAAATCAGTAGACATAGATATGGATGTAGACATGAGTGAATTCGGGTTCGACACCTTTATTAACAAAGTACTTCGTTTTGCACCGCCTCAGCTGTTGTCCACCGCTTTGATTGAGGTTGTCTAGACATACGTACATTCATCCTTGTTGTAGATAATGAAAGCGGTAGGATAAAGCGTAGTAAATAGTCCTGTTTAAGCATGTCACGTGACCAATTCTGTCAAGACAGCCAAATATCCCCGCATTTCATCCCTCCAGGATAAAATTTTGCAGTGAGGTTATGGCCTTCCGTCATGCTAGACCCTTTAGGCATAGATCGGACGGTGTGCCAGAATCAAGGTCTCATCCGCATCAGCAGTTGCGCTCAGTTGAAAGACAGCGATCAAAAAGGTCATTTACAAGTGGACTGAGAGCTTAAGAATAGGCAAACTGGTGCCAAACCGGATGCAGAGTTCCCTTACCAGGCAAAAACTGACTTAATGACTGCTTCAAAGAGCAAGTGGACTCCTCCTTCTACAATTTATTATCTAATAAATGAAATAATTAAATGCGTGGACTGTAGCAATCATTCCACTAAGAACTATAGCCCCACTGATATGAATACAACGATTTCCCTGAATAATTTACGACTCGTTCAACCCTAACTATGACGGGAGAGGGAAGGGGAAAAGGATTAGTTCCAAATTGTTTACTTTTGATAATACTTTTTAATTGGAACATTTATAGTCTCGAAAATAAAAAGGGGCCTGAAAATGCGCAGATGTGCTGATTTAAACAAACAAATGTTGAGGCACTGGAGATACCGCAAATTCATTCACTCTAATTTCTCAAACGAAATCTCATGGGATGGTTTAATAAGCCCTCAAAATCAAGATTTGAAAACTCCTTTTGAAGGTGGGTTGAGGCAAGCATTAAAGAGGTGCGTAGGAGTCTCCCCATTCGCAGATGAAGGACTGGCTAAGGCTTAAGGTGGCGCCACGTGAGAGTTAGTAACTAAACTGCATTGCCATCAGATTAATCAAGACAAGAGGGTGCGCGAGGGCAAAAGGGCCTTTGAAACCCCCTGGCTTGATGTCTGGACCATAGCAGCAAAATTTCCTCCAAGGGGATCAACAATTAAAATAGATTTTGAATCAGTAGTAAAATTCCGCAATAGAGACTTTCTCAGTAGCCAGAGCATCGTCTTCCGTGCTGGTGCTTTACAATCCTAAGGATGTCATCTCTGATACTGGTCTTCTAGCCCATTCACATATTGATAAATCTTGTCGCGCAAAATCCCCAAAAATGATTTGGAATTAAATTATCATCCCAAGTGGATAACCAACAAGGTGTGGAATTCATTCACTCACCCTATTTTAGGTCATGCAGAACCTGCTTGATAATTACTTTCGGTTAAGCGGCCCCAAGTTGGAGCAACTTCCAGTGTTTAGTTAAGAACTAAATGTAAGTTCAGCGAAATAGTAAACATCTTTCATTAAAAAACACTGATCTGGATTTTGTCCACTGCGAGAGATTACGATTCATTTGGGGATGATGAGAAAAGCCCCATCAACTTAAGCTTTAAAAAGCTTACTTAATTAATTAAAGTAAGGTTTAATTTGACGGGGAAACACCACGCCCTTGTTTGAATGTTGCATGCAATGCTAACACAAACTGAAGTCGCAGCTATTAAAAGTGCGAAATATGTTGGTGCTTTGATGCTAATTTAGCAAGTTGTAAAAACCAAGAAAAGTGGGATTAAAAAGTTTGTAGAAGGGATTTTTTTGTTGCCGATCTAAAAAGGCAATCCTGTTTGTGGTTGGTTAAGACACGAACAACCATCGAAAGGGAGGAGAAAGTAGGTCATTAAATGGCATGCTTAAGCGGCGGCTAATGTTAAAGTGTCAGAAAGGCAAACCGCCAAATGTTCCTTACCACTAACTAGCTATTAAGTATGGCAGATATAGCTTTATCCAGTTCTCAAGTAGAATAGCAGGATGCCTTCGCTCAGTTGCTCATTGTACAAGAATTAAAAGATTGTGCTAGGTTTGATGCATTTGTTGACCTACAAATCACATAATATATTTGGAAAGTGGGGAGTGACTTATTTTGCAAAGGCACAAAAATCAACCAAGATTACTATCAACAGCTCTGTAGCTGCAACTACAGATGATGCATTTGTCAACCGTTAAATAGCATCTTAAATGTTCGTATGAACATCAAAGGTTATGCATTTCCACCCAGTTTGACATGTGAGACTAAAATGAATGTCTGCCAACTCCTCTAAAGTTGTAAATAAGAACATGCTTACTTTAGCGGGGTTTTCTTTTCACCGTTAAGAGCTCCGTTGAATTTTGAACTCCTAATTACTCTAGAAACAGCAACATTTTCCACTTTTCTGGCCTCTCAAAGTCGTGAAAAAGTTGGAGACGTTCGAAAAAAACAATTTTGCTGTTGTTTTCTTCCTTTTCCGTTTTCATATCTCTGGGTCGAGAAGAGTGGCTGGAGGAGGACATCTTGCCTTGTGGTAAACAAAGTTTTATAGAGGAAGCCGAATTTGTATCCCCTCCGAGGATCGATGACGCCTTCCCCACTCACAAATATGGTTTGGTCTGTCCACTGCCCGACTTAAAAAGTGTATTAAAGCCAAAAAAATCTCACAGACTTTTTGCATTCAAAACTATTGGAAAATCATTTCAATGCGCTTGCTCACTGGTTGCCTTACAAATTAGATTAAACCCTATCAGCCAATCAGATGTTGAGTTTGTGAAAGCTAAAACAAATCACGGACCAATTACTCTGCTAAGGTAAATGAATAATCGTCCAACTTATTGCCGCCACTTTCTATTACAACTGGACGATTAATGGCACACTGACATGAGGTGAGAAGCGAGTACTTCATTAAGCCCTATCACTACTTTCCCAGCCATAGAAATAGCAATCGGAAGACTCTAAAGAACCTCTTTCTCCGACTGGATCCAACTAAGTCAGGTAAAGTGGCTTGCAGTAAAATCTCCGCAGCTCTCAAAGCCCATCCTGTCACAACTGCGAACGTTGAGACAATGGAAGCATTGACAACGCTTCTGGATATCTACAAAGACGAAAAATGAAGCCTCGAGGATCTCCTCTTTTTCCTCTGATAAAGCGTTTCACCCTCGAGGGAGAAAAAGGGCAATTATGGTTGTATAAAACGCTTTTACAAAAAGGATGCAGATTGTCTGATGCTTTGTGATTAAAGAACAAACAGGGACAGGTCGGAAATCGATATGACTGATTAATTAGGCATAATGAGAATCTCGGTCATAAACCAATAATTGGGTTAATTAACTTGGGAACTTTGGCGGTGAAATCACTTTTTTAATTAGAAAATTTGTGCTTTCATTCATGAGATGTTAGTAGGTAAGTACCTTTGCACACAAATTGAAGCGATATTTACTATTCATGCCAAATAAAAGACGTATTGATCGGAAATGGTCACAGCTCATCTTGTCGTCCATCAAGCAGTCAAAAAGAGTTCGTCAAGATTTCACTATATCTCACTCCATTCGCTCATCATACCTTGTATGGACATGCGGAACACGCGCGGATGTTTACAGACCTACATGACAGGGCGCAAATATGCGCCAGTCGGTGCTGTCAGCACCTCAACTCTGGCTTGCGACAACACCTTTATAGCACAAAGTGACGGTTGAAATTCAGGCATGTGAATCAAGCTTGTTCGCTTCAACGGGTCGAACCGGGTTGAGCTCGACTCCGAAGCCCCATAGGCCTCTCGTAACACTTGTCGCCGGGCTTTTGAAGAGGGTGTGGTGCACGCTGCAAACCGTCCACTTTGGAGGTGGTCAAACTGACAATCAAATTCTGGTAGCAAACGTGTCGCCATTTGTCGAGATCCCAATCAGGCAATTAACTGTAATGCTTATATTGTTTTAATGTTCCTCGCAGAGAGGAGGCGGGGATACAATTCGAACCTGGTGACAGAGTCGACGTCCTCCAAGCCTGAGAGCGGTTGCGGATCCTCCCCCCTCCCTAAACTCTGTACTATTTTTCCCGATTCACTTCTCCCAATAAATATGTTGAAATCAAGCCAACCTGGTTGTTCTAAGAGTACGAGGAACAGGGAGGAGGAGGCCTACGAGCCAAGCTCTACACAACAGACGCAGACGCAGACTTTAGAGGCTGATGGCTTAATTAATGGACGGATGGGGGTGAGCACAGAGGCACAACGCGCATGCACGAGTGACATACGGGTAGTAGAGAATGCCAGCAACCGAGTGAGTCACTTGATCATCATAGATACGCCAACTTATAATGACCGGTTGACCTTGGACTTAAAGTGGTTGTTATCGCATTTAAAGCCAAACTAACCTTGATCTCGGCCAGTCAGGAGGAAGTGAGCGAAAGCACAATTGCTGAGATATTCGGGAAATCAGCCCCACGAAAATTAAAACGCCTAGAAAATCAAAAAGCACTTCTGGGATTACAGGTCTTCTCGTAATAGCAGGAAGGAATTATACGTCGATCTCAGTAAAGCCTTGTCCACTCACCCGTGTGTTCTACTTTCTCGGTGACTTGGTTCCGCGCAGCCCTGCTTCTAAGCTAGGCTACGGTTTATCAGTGGAAAGACTACAAACCGCATTTGGGGATTGAAAAGAGAGGTGTCGTGACATCCTGACTTTTCCACCGTGTTCCTCTGATAAAATTCCTCCAAGTGGTAAAATTCACTTTTACTTGACGTTGGTACTGGCAATCACACGATCAGACCCAAAAAGAACAGACAGCCGGTGAATAAAAATGAGTTGGAAATGGAAGCGGCCGGGGCCGGGTGGCTGTTTTTAGAGGCAACATGATTGATGGAAGCAAAATTGGAAGCAATTCGGAGGACTTGGAGGGTCACATAGCAGATAATCCTACAAAATCTGCCAAAAAATAAGGAGTACCACAATTTCCCAAGTGAATTTGTTAATAAACTCCAGAACATCACCGGCACTGCCCGCAAGTTTCGTCCATGTTAGATCCGCAAACTTCAATCTTCTGTGTCTGGGGTTCATTCAAGACCAAAATCTTGCTCTACATTCTGGTTGAAAAATGTCATCATAAAAGTTAATATGTTATAAAGTGGCATTAAACTCTGCAACCTAATTAGCCCAAGGTGCAGAAGACTTCACCAAGTTACGGGCAGTAGTCTCCACCACGCTATTGGTCATCTCTGCGTATCACTTCTCCACCTTCCTCTTCCAGAATGCACAAAGTTGACCGGCAACAAAATTTTATCGCCCGGAAGAGAAACATGGGGGGAAAATCCAACTCCAGCATACCCCTAGCCGCCGACCACAATGACCAGGAGGTAGCGTCTTTCGTAGATGCTAGGTAGGAAAGTTCCACACCACCTGAATGAAGTACAGGCAAAAAAAGAACAATCTTGACGATAGAATAGTTAAAAAAGGTGAATTTGCTCAGCAAGTCCGGGGCATCACTGACGATGTCATGTCTGCCGGATTTTTATTTGAGGTTTAGTAGTCAATCCCCCTGTTTATCAGGCCCTGGATAGACAGTTACTCCAAGGAGTTCTTGTGCGTTTGGACAAGACCACAGGCCTTCTCACACAAGTTGCAAGATCCAGGAGCGCATACTCAAATATTTTCAAAGTTGATTAAAAAATAACTTAATTGGAACACCAGAAGAGGTTTTATCTTCAAAAAATCATAGTCAACCAGTAACTAGAAAAATGTGGCTAATGGAATGATAAGGAAGGTTGCAAGTTGAAGGATTCAAGCCACAGTGAGTGTAGAGAAAAAACCAACAACACCGGATGCTGCTGCAGCTTCAAGTCGGGGATGAGATAGTGGTGTGGGCAGTAGCAGTGACGTTGTTGACAGAGGCCGGAGGCGAATCCGAGGCGAGTAGAAGGGAATCCACCAGTCGAAAGATGCGATCACGACAGTTGCAGAGGTAGGCCTCTGTCTCCCACAACATCTGCAGGATAGTCCGTGTGTCCTTGGTGTCCAACGCCACGTTCCCCGAGAGCAGTGGACTGAAGCGGAAGAAAGGCACTCCAAGAGAACTGCACCAGGCTCGAGAACGCTCCACGATACGACCTGATGAAGATGGAGATACAGAGGAAAGCAGAAGGTAAATGAACAACGAATTGGGGTTGAAAAACCTCGCTTTCTTTTTCATTTATCTATTGATTCACCCATTTGTGCGTTCGTTCAGTAACTGGCTCGCTCATTCATTCAGTAGCTTGCTCTTACCCATAGAAGCAATGGCACCTAAATATCCCTGTATCAACTCGTTAGCACGCTCGCTGCCAGCGTCACATGAATGTGACGTCCTGATTTTACCATCAGAACTCGATGTCAACGACATGTGATACATGCACCTAGGTTGTGACAACCGTTCGCCTCGATTCAATTTTTCCGTTTTTCGAATAAATGAAAGAATGCACCTACATTACGGCTCCAACAAACAACCCTAATCACCAGATTTTGAGTGACAATATATCCCAGCTACTGGTAGGTTCTATAAACAGGGGGCCTATTGTTGTTCCTGAGGAAACTTGAAGAGCGTATTCGAGATCTGCAAAACATCAGTGAGCATTGGCAATATTAACATTAGAACTGCCAAATGTAGATAGCCACTGCGAGGATTTGACAGCTACCTACGACAACCCTCACAAATAGGCTGACAACAACCCCAACCGAAAAAAACGGAGGTTTTGCCTAACACTCATTTGTGATACTAAAAATGGTATTTGCCTCCCTTTAAAAAATTCTTAGGTAGTAATAGAATAAAGGCATTAGATAGCCAGTTTCTTGCCCCACACATATTTCCTGCTATTAGATGACCAAAATCTCGTGTCACTTTCAGTACAGCCTGCGCCAAGGACTTATTATAAATACCAAGAGCATGTGGACGTTTACGGGTACATTTTGGAGCACACATATGCGTCAATCCGTAGGCGCGGTGCTCCTTCCGGTGTTGTGTACTCCCTACCTCCTATTTGCAATCCACCTTCAATTCGTAAAGTACCAGTTGAAATTCATGCATGCGATTTAAACTCGTCGACTTTACGAATAGAGGAGAGCTCGACTGCGAAGCTCCCAAAAGCCTCTCGTACCACTCGTTGCATAGCATTTGAAGAGGGTGTCGTATGCGCCAGCGAGACCGTACAATCTGGAGGCGGTTAAACTAACTATTTAATTATGCTTGTTGATAACTCAAAGATAGACGGACTACCTTCCACTACCGCTTACACTTACTAGAGAACGTGTCAAGGGCAACCCACAGTCCAGTCATCTCTAGTGTGAGTGATGAAGTTACAACTAGCTCAGATGCAAGGAAAGATAGAAGGAGGGACTGTCTTACCCTCTGACATGGTGGCCATCTCCACAAGCATCCGCGAGAGCTCAGTGACGCCCAAAGCCACCCGATAGGCCTCAGACATGTTCTGCGGTCGGAAGACATCCAACTGCTGCACCTCGCGCAGCGGCACTCGGCCCGTGCCCAGGGAGGTCACACAGGCGATTGGAATGGCCGGCTCACGCTGTGATGGAAACGAAGAAAGCGGTAGGCCAGATTTAGCAGAATTCCATCTTATGAGCATCTTGAGGTTAATGTGCATCAGCTCCGATGCTGACAACCTTCCAGCCAGAGCAATCAGTAGACAAGGGCCTGTGTCGGCGGGTTTGAGTGAGCAGGAGATAGAGCGCACTTGATTGCGACAACTGACAGAGTAATGAAGCGTCCTAGAGACACAAGTGGTTTCGGTCCAGCGTATCTACAGGGCCTGATGAATCCCAATTTAGTAGCATTATTAGCACCAAAATCGTCTGTATGCGATGCGGCACCGCCGAATCAGGAGGGAATGAGCTGGAGTACGACACAGTCGAAGATTAGCCACCAAGATGAAAACTTCCAGCAAATCGAAACAGGAACGTTTTGTGAGTTTGGAGGTATTTTCAACACAAGTATTCATCGATTGTCCATTCTCAATAATGCCTACTCCTGAGGAAAGATGATAGCATCTTGGTAATTGCAATCACGCAGTCACCAGTAGGTAAGGTTGGTTAGTTTGTTCTATTTCATCAAACGAGCAGAAAATAATACGACAGATTTCATTTATGCCATGAATCTCATGCCCTCTTAGGACGCATATGGATCCATTTAAAGGGTAATTCGAGGTAAAATTAGTACTTTTTGGCTAAACAATGGAAGTAGAGAGAAAACGTACTCGAAGGCGTCGAACAATGTTAAGCTCTTGTGCTTCAGTAAGCAAATCCAATGTGGGATTGTTGGCAATAAGACCACCATCGAGGAATGGACCGCAGGCGCGGAAGTAGCTGGGCGCTGCTCCTGACGCCCTCGCAGCTTGCCAGACAAGCTAAAAGTGAAAAACAACGGAGTCAGAATGTCTACCCAGCAGCTTTCACGCCTTTCTCTCAAAAGCGCTCATCAATAGATGACGCATCTTATGAAATAACAAAGGAACAAGGATATCATGCTCGAATTTTTTTAGTCCGGAGATCGTAGATCAACTGAAACACAGGGGTCCTACAAAGTGGATGAAACGCTAAAAATCAAGTGCTTCTCCCACATTCTAATTCGAGGATCCAGCAAACGTCTGATTCAATAGAATACCCTTGTAAAAATTATGAACTTGAAGATCAAAGTTCGAAGACTTGGACACATCGAACTTTTAGGAGAGTGGTTTCACACTTTTTGAAGGAGGCCTTAGAATGAATGCTGGATTCTATTAATTGCCAGAATAATTCACGGGTTATCATACGATCTGAGAACTCCTAAAGGCAATAAGAGTATGCGATGGCTGGACCCGACTTACTGATTACGGTGCGTGAATCAGAATAGGAAAACTTTCCAAATAACTATGAGGAGACAACAAAAGGATTGTGCAGCAGAAGACTTCACGCCCTTCAAAGCCCGAATTCTATGAAGCACTCACGGAGGGGGAATCTTCCAGCTTCTCCAAGACACCTTTCAATAAATGATGAGCTTACTAAAATGCCATGGGAACTGATATTCGCCTTAGAGGAGTAAATTGCAGAAGGATTGTCATTTTATCCACCTAGAGGTGGTGGATTAATTGCAACAAGTGTCTTGCACAATCGTTAGTTTAATCAAAGTCCAACGCCGAAGCGCTTTACCTTATGAAGAGGAGGGAGACCACCTCATCGAAAAAAGAAGTGAACTCTTAGAACAAAGCAGGTTTGAATTCGCTTGAACTGCGAAAGTAATCCCTGGGGAAGAAAAAAAGGCTAATCTAAAAAAAGGACCTAAAAGTTTGACTAAAGGAGTGAAGAAAGGTCCAAAAAGACTAACGAATATTCTCCACAACTTTTGATCTAAAGCGTTCTACAATTGTGCAATTTAGATAACTTGAAACAGGTAACTAGTAAATAATTGTAGAAAATTCGCTTTTAAAGAGCAAGATGGCAAAAAAGGACGCAGTTTCCCATCCGAGGAAAAAGGCAATTTACTAGCAAAACTATTTGAAACAATTGGCGGGACATTTTGAGGAATGTCAATGTACCGACTGCTCAAGGTAGCAAGAACTCCAAGCGCAGAGCTTCAAACAAAGCTGCCAAACGGGTAGCACAGTCAATCGAGGACCTTGATTTCACCTGCATACGATGGAAAGGCATGAAACCTTGGACGGCCCACGTGTCGCGGACTAGTTAGGGCATCGTAGAGAAAGCGACAGAAGACAGTTGCAGTGGCTACATGCCTGGGAAAGTAGGTGTGCTAAAACCCAAATTGGTGAATACCTTGCCATATAACGGACATCGAGGACGGTACGATGGTGGGGCACTCAACAACAGTAAGACATTTAAGCGGTACTAATGACTATTCCGAGCATAACGATTCCTAGCCCACAGTTCCGGTAGTCACTTCTGTGAGTTTCAGCCAGCGCCTGGAAAGCCTCATTCTTGATGTCTGATCAACGCATAACTTCGTGCGACGAAGTTGCGCAAGATAGAAGTCCTTCTTTAGGAACTGTAAGCATGGAGATTCACTAAGTTTTACTAGTCTGGAGAGTTAGTCCATGCTGGACATTGACGCGCCTGTGATGGGAGCGTAAAAGAGGCAGTAGGAGACTGTATCGAGAAATAATGTAATCTTTATCCCATCACGCATATTATTTCCCCTTTTAAAACCAAAAGTCCCTGTTCACCTTGGACAGCCCTCGTTACAAGCAGCCATTTGATCTATTCATTCCAATAAATTAAGTAATAGACTTCAATGACTTAGAGAGTGGCTCCAGCCAACCTACGGCCACCTCGTCGGCCGTCATTTCGTAGATTTTTAGCAGTTTAGTGTACTTGGGGAATTTAAGAACTGTAAGATATGTCTAAACACCCGTGAAGAAAAATGGTTTTGCTCCAGGGCAAAAATCGAGTCGAAGTTGGAGAGCTAGCCTACCACACTTCCGCCTGCTTTAATATCGACAGTCGAATTTGGGTGACCTATTATACAAGAAGGCTTCAAGACCTGTGCGATACACCTGAAAACCTATAAAAGATGCAGTTCCAGGAAAGTGATTTAATATGGTCCCACAACGCCAAACAAGCAGCTCATACAAACTGGCAAAAAGCAAATATTTCCCAAATTCTTAAAGAAGAGTGGATATTTGCGTTTCCAAAAAAATCGCGGTCTATCGTCAACCCACCTGCTCACTAGTAGGCACAGGCTGTTCCACACCCCTGAAACTGTACATGTAGCGTCGGGAGAAGGAGGAAAGGAGAGAGACGACGGACTCCTGCAGGTTCGACTCGTCCTCCCCCCCGTTACCCACTTCGTGGATAGTCTCACCGAAGAGGTCACGTAGGAAGGTGTTTAGCAGGCGCTTGTAAGACACGTCGGCAGTCATTGAGTTGTCAGTCACCTGCGTGACAGTACTGGTATCGATGGAGGTAGAGGTGGAGGAGGTGGAAGCAGCGACGCGAGGGGAACGGGCTTCGAGGAGCTCCGACACAAGTCGTTCCGTTCGTTCATATGGTGCGGGGTAGTTGCGGAACATGTGCAAGCGAGGAGGGAAATGGTCGCCTCGCAGAGCTGTGACTGAAACTCTAAGAAGAGAAAAAAATCGAGAACTCAGTTTTTTCATCACTCTGTTAGTGACGCGATTCCCTCAACGATCTGGTTGAACTAGACGCCCAACATTTAATATCATCATTTCAGGGCATTAAGTAAAGTGACTAGCTGATCGAAGAAATGCACTACCACCGAGATCATTGAAGTGAGTCCTTTTTATGGACTAGGTTGGCCATCCATCACGATCTTTGCCTCTTCTCCTCAGATGATGAGATTTGCAAAGAATTGCAGTCTTAACAAGTAACTCAGTCGAGGGTGAAATTCAATTAGGAATTTAAGTGGCGGTTATAAATGGTTAGCCTCAAATTATCGTTTGGAGGAATCCAAGAGAAACGAACGCTTGAATTCATTCATTATGCATGCTGAGGAGTGGAAATACCCACAAACCACAAGAGTAAAAATCTATACAAACTGCATCAAATCAAGTTGCACGAAGCCACGCAAACAACAACCTTCTTGAGGTTCCCACCTTTGACACCATTAACCGATAAGCTGGAGGAGTAGCAGTTAGTCACCTCGGCCTCCTGCCTTTGAGTGAACGTTTTCGTCTGGAAAGCCGGTCACTCTTGTGGTTTGCTGAGTAAACATTTTGAGAAGTTGGAGGTGCAAAGCTGATGCGCAAATTGTGCCAGAGAGGAACGGCATTCTGTCGTAGTTTTGAAATTGTGTGGTGCGTGTAACTTTCTCGCTTTCAGCTTGAGCATGCAGTACGAAGTTGAAGTAGTCTCTAAGTGGGTGGGGAGTTTTAAAGCAGAGCACCCATGGCGTTCAGCTTTAGTCACTGGAAGAACTGACAAATGAGTGGAGAGAAAGGGAAAAACAGCTGTTGAAGAGGTTGCAGGATCGGTTGGATCTACGTGTGACCTGAATCACGAAAGCTTCAAGTTCTGTTAGGTGTCCCATGTAGTGTCAAAACAGCCACAACACGAGAACAAGCCCAAGTTCTTGAAATTTTACTATCTCAATGTGTGAAGTTGTCAATGGGTTTGGACATCTCTTTCACTTTTGACGCTATCCGATGAGAAATTGATGAGTCATTGGCGCATAATTGAAGTTGATTCAGATGCTTTTCAGTGTCCGCGGTTCCGGTTACCATCCTGGTACACCATGACACTTCATCCGTGGCTGTAGCCACCCAGCTCCCTTCTGTACTGGTGTGGCCTGCTGCTGCAACCCAATGAGCTACATCTTAATTTAAGCGTACGGATTCGGAACAATAAGGCATACTTTTTCCCAGTAGATAGACTGAACAAGGCTTTTTAAAAAAGCCACTATAGGTGTGTCAGAAAAGACAGAGAAGTTTGCTTCGAACAATTTCCCAGAGAATCGGAGCAAACAAGAAAGTTGAGTCCAGCTGAATGCGCCTGGTAATGGCCGTGACGAGGCTTTTGAACTCATAATTCCTGCTAAATGATACCGTAAGAGTCAGATTCGCGGGTCAGTTCGATGGCTCATAAGAATTCTAGAATCTTGTAGAGATCTGCCATTAATTTAGTCAATTTAGGCATCGTAATTTTGTAGCATATAACAAACTTGCTGTATGCATCGAACGCTACAATGATGCTTCTCAATTTTGATGCTTTACTTCCAAATCCAAATTGTTTGTTAAAGTCGTTCCTAGGCCCTGTCGCATTCTTCGAAAACCCTCCTTATCATACTCTTTGCTATATCTCTATTATTTCCAAATCCCACTGCATAAAAAGGTCAGTCGAAACGCATGCATGCGATTCCGACGCGTCCGCTCCACAAATCATGTGGAGCTTGATTTCGAGGCTCCAGAAAACTCTCTCAACACTTGTTGCATATCATTTGGAGAAAGTGTAGTATGCGCCAGCAAAACTGCACATTTCAGAAGCGGTGGAACCAACAATGTCACTTTGTCTATCAATACCTCAAAGGTGGGTGAATAGCCTTCTGAAAAACCCTTCATAAGGAGGAGAAATTACCCTCTACTATTCCTCACAACTACCGGAGATCAATGTGTTAAGAGTAACTCACAGGCAGGACATATTTAGTGTGAGTGGTGATGGAACAACTGGTTCACACCTACATCGACATCGACTCGGAATAAAAGTCATACTGGAAGCTACCGGGCAAATTACTGCCACCAGCATCCACTAACAAGAGAAGACAGACAGTAAGCTTGAAGAATTACCATTGCTTTATTCACTTTTAGCCTTCCATTGATGGAGAATTGGCGTTGATAAAAGGTTGTTTAATGCTGACTGACTCGTGATAAGAGATGGCTCCTGCGTTCTGTTGCAATGGTCGGTTATCCAAAAACGGTGCACTCATTCACTACCAACTAACCATCCTACACTTCCAGAGCTCCCAATGCTTTACCCTACAAGACTGTGAGCTACAGACAAGGTTGTTCACTATGCCTTGTTCTACTGTAGAGGGCCAAAAATCATGGCTAAGATTTGTCCATTCGACGGGTACCAACTCGAGGCAAAACGTCTTTTCAAGACAAAATCAGAACAGTAAGGGCTAATAAATCAGTGGGAAGAAAGTCCTCCTCATTCCTCTGTACTCCATCATACTTGGATTTCATAAAAGAGAAACTAATCATAAAAGCAGAATTCTTGGCAAATTCCTGCAGTTATCAGGTTTTTGTACTACCAGAAATCGCCAAAACCTATTTGGTTAAATTGTAACACAAGTTTAACAAAGACTTAAGCTTACTTTGCACGAAGCCTAGATACGTAGAGAAGTACTAGGTTTATAAGCACTTCTGCTCCAATCCAAAAGCCCTTGATGTCAGCTGTGTAAGTCGCATTTAACTACGCATGATTGGCCCTCCGAAAACCAGTATATGACACGTAGTTCTTCTAAACTAGAGTTCTTTCACCTTCAACGTCTCCTAAATGCTACTGACGCGATCTGGACTTTTCACATTAAGTGTAACATTTAAAAAAGACGAACTTATCTAAAAATAGTGAGTCGACCTAAGTTCGTGGCACTGAACAGGCGAACCACAGGACATTCAAGTGAATAATGGCCAAGAGTGATTCACCAAAGTGTTGAGCAATTAATGAGGTTCAGATTTGTAAGTTTAAAGGGTGCCGCAAGAGTCTCACAGCAGCTGCAGTCCAGTAGTATCCACCAAGATGGTGCAAACATGGCAGGAAGGAAGGAAATATTTCGTATCGAATCCTGGACAAAATAAAGCATGTAGTCAATTGTTTGCGAACGGTACTGGTGTAGTGTAGGCTCTCAGTTAGTACCTACGAATTTGAAATTCGCGTAAATCTACGCGACTCGCACAAGGAGATGACGAAGAATACACGAAATTGGAAGTAAAGAAAATTAAATTTACTTCAAGAGAAAGCTGGGATAAAAATCCACGCATCAATAAAACACAACAAATTTGGCGATGAATGGGACAATATAGGTGAATGGAGACGTGTTTTACTGCCGACCACTTCTGACATGACATTACACGTGGATCAAGCCCAACACGAAGGTCGCAAGAATTAAAATTCACCTTCACTTCATTGTGACAAGTCGCCTTACTAGATAAGAGTCGCTTCACTTTAAACTCGTCACAGTGCCAGCAAACAAATTAAATAGTGAATTAAAAGTTGGCATTTGTATGGCACAATTTTCTCCCTGGAAGAAAGCTGCCTTTCAAGCGAAACCTCGCCCAGCTTCTCATGAAAACAGGCGGTTATGCAACATTGCAGTTGAACGGTATACCCACCTGTCGCCTCTGCAATGCTCTATCACCTCCTTAAGGAGGTTTTAATACTACGACGCATCCAGAAGTAGAACTGGTAACACATTGATGCCACCTCGATAGTCTAGGTTCGACACCTTCCGCTTTGTCTACCAAAGAACTAACAAAATGGTAGCTTTCTAGGTCTTTTCATGGATACAACAACAAAGATGGGGAAAAAACCCAAAACAGACGAGAAAGATTGTGGGTAAACAGCTGCCCACGACAGAAGGACCTGAAATAAACACCTCACACTTTTACTACATACAATATTTTCTTGCTTTGGTCTTGCAGGTCGTCTGCATCACCATGAAAATCTCCCATCATACACCACAGCCTTGGAATATGCTCGCCCATGGGCATATCTAACACTTACCAAACAAGATTATTTCAACTATATTGGAGCAGATGTGGAAATTGGGAACCAAGTTTGTCCAAAAATGCAGCATTTTCACTCATGCATCAGAATAGAGGGTATCCAACTGCCCTAATGGGGCAATTATTAACAATACATGAAATAAGGAGATTACTTTTGAGGCACACCTCGGCGAATAATCTTCTCACGCCCAACCTACAAAGTGTTAGCTTATCCTTGCAGGTCTTTTCCGTGATCCACATCCTGTGTCACCTTTCACCAAATTAGCTAAAATGCTATGAGATATCCAACCAAGGATATGCTCGACATCTTTCGTCCTTCCATATCTTTCAAGCAAAGAACAAAAAGGTAGGAGTGTGCGTAAACTTGATAATTAGTTCGCAGACGTTTTCCACTATGACACAGGTAGAACAAAAAGGTAACTGTAATGTTTTACGGATTAAAAGGGGTAGGAAACTCGATTTGCCGCAGTAGAATAAATATTGTTCTTTTGTGAGTTGGAGAGATAAGAAAACCAGGAAATACGATTTGATCACATTATCAGCTGAAACTTACCTCACGTCCGCGATGTCAGACATGACTGATCGCTCACCAAACTCCTCACGCAAAAGACTCTCGAATCCCTCTGTAGGATAGGGCCGATTACCCACAAAAATCTTCTCCTTTAGTCGAAAATACAGACAACGGTTGTAGCGCACACACTTGCCCTGCACGATATTCAACGCCAGCATAGCTCCAGTGGACGTACCTATACAGGAAACAGGGAAAATACGGGGGGTGTTAAGCTCGAGCTATAAGCTGAAGGGATACTACTACAAAGGGCAGCAGTAAGTGCTGAGTGCGTCTTATTACTACTAGCCAATCCGCATCTGTCAATGAGGAATGACATTTACTGATGGTAAGGGGTACCTGAAGCAAGCTGGGTGTGTGATGATGAACTGAGCCGTATAACCCATGAATGCTTGTATCCACAGGAGGCTTCAAGCATACTCCGATGATGGACCACAGTAAGGGCTTGGAGTGATGCAAAACTTCAAATGACAATCTTAAGTCAGGCAGTGATGAATTCTCTGCCACGTTGGCTTCTAAGTCACCAATACGATTTTTAGAAACATCAGGCAATTCGGAAGGTTAAAACCCTTGCGTGTCGAGATAGCTCCCGATTTCTGACTGGTACAGAAGGGTTGAAAGCTGAATTTTGTAGATCACACTATTATATGAGACAAAATAATTTCATTTCGAGATCAAAATGGCTGCCAAGACAGTGGAAGCTTTTAAAGCCAATATTTCAGCACGAATGACAAAGAAAGGCAGGTTCAATCATTAGGAAAGATCGTTGCAAACTAAAAATTGCCAGGTAATAGTGTTAGCAATTCAAAAGTCCCGATTTAATTGGAACTCTCTTCCCGAAATTGTCCCAAGAGAGGCCTAACAGTAGGAACTCACCAATCACCCAATCGTAAAGGTCGCGGATAGGCCTCTCCGCCGCTTTTTCGATTGCTCGCAGGATCTGGCACAAAACTAGCCCCCTAATACCCCCACCGTCGAGACATAGCACCCGGTAGCCGCGTCGACTTGCCCGAAAACCCTCTGCGTCTCTCTGCATGTTCTCCGACGCCGCATCCTCTGTAGGTTGACATATTGTGGAGAATGTGGTCAAGGGAAGACTCGGGTTGATACCTCCACCACCTTAATTGCAGCAATAGACAAAAATTAAGCAAACATTGGTGAAGCATTCGAGATACCCCCTAACATGGTCTCGATAGTATTTGATCAAATCTGTGCATATCACATATGTATATAAGTAGAAGAACTGCCATTCCAGGTTGTAAATGGCTGCGAAACCCCATACACAAAGTGCACTAAAAAGGGAGGAAAAGCATTTCCTCATTTACGGAGAAAAGCGCAGGTGGAAGGTCAGCGTGTCAGGAGTACCAATTAACCTCTAGAGACATATGTGTACCTAACAAAATTTCCCCTTTCACAGAATTGCCATCATTTCTCATACGAATAAAAAGTACGGAATTGACGTACTAAAGTAACCGACGCAGAACACTCCTGACGCGTAGCCACGACTATGGGTAGTGATTTCCAGAAAGACAGATGAGTAGTTATTGGAGAAGAGTTGAGCATATTTTAACTCATGACACCAAAAAGAAAATATATTCTAAAAAATGCTTTTGCAGGAAATTGATAAAGTTGCCATCTTGAGATGGAAGGAATGAGCACGAGTTTGGAAGTATTCTGAATGCATTAAAATGCACTTCTGGGGTCTTCCATATGGCCTCAAGGAAAGTGGCAGGAAAATTTCACATTTTTGCAAAAGATAGATCAAAGGTGGAAGGATTCATGGGAGAACGCTGAGCAATTTTTCGGCCTTGCGTATTTTCGTTTTAAAATTAGGATGCAAAGCAATCACGTCTAAACGTGTCATTTGCATACTTCGATCCAATAAGCCGGACGACTTTATAGTTTGATATAAAAGCTATCCATCTAAGATAATGACGCTTGGCCACAATCTGGTCTTGGACATCCTGCAAATAGGTTCACAAATTCGTACCTATCAGTATGTGCACCCACTATAAGAGTCAAGTTTCCTCCATCGTGGAGTTTTGGGTCAGGGGTACATTGACACGTGTGATGCCGATGACTGTTAGGAGGACCAGCTAGCTTCACGTCCTCGTCTTAGTCATCCTGTGTATACACTACCCGTCCAATCTGAAGTGGCTGTGCCCTCTCCCGATTGGTTGGTCCTTTCTAGCTATCCCATATATACACACATCACACCTTATGTTACTGCTCCTAAGTGAACTTGGTTCTAATTTGGACCTATGTTTTCGCTAAAATATCACTATTTACGTTTGGAAAAGTCTGAGAAGTGAGGATTGTATCTAGGTTATAAACTACGATAAAGGTATAATAGATGTGAAGTTTCCCAGCAGTTCATTCGGCCACAGCTGTAACCATGACAGCGGAAGAATTTCAGGACAGTAGCGTCAGAAAAATAAAACGCCTTTACCAAAAAATATTTAATCACACTGGTAAGTGACTGCAATAAGAAGTGGAAGATTTTTTGAGTGAAATGAAAAAAAAGTGGCAGATGTAATTAATGTTACCTCAATGAAGCAACAGCGGCACCACAAATCCTACCTTCTCAGTAACCAGGTAAATCATGAACACTGTCGGTTGAATCCGACAGTTATGAGATTTTGCAGGCAATAACCCATTTTGAATTTAGAAACTACTACCTTCCCATTTTTAACCCTTTTTGAGCGATCGTGCCTCTTCGAATGTTCCCTCAAAGTACACTAGACTGTAGTTGGGAGGGAGAAAAGCTGAATTGACTAGCTTACTTCCATGCACAGCCGAAAAGCATCGAGCGTTTCGCTCCAGACAACATGGCACACCGGGTCGACCTGAGCAGCTCCGAATGGCACGACTCCAGAGGTGGCGATGGTTATGCGATCCTTGTTCTTGCTGCTCTTGTTCCTGTTGATTATGATTTTCGAAATAATAGTGATGGAGTTCCTGAGGCTTTATTGTCTCCAGAGCCGACGCTGTTGCAAATCCTGTGGCTAGAGGCTGAAGAGATGATAAAGCTGCTAAGTTGAAACTCCCATTATTTTACAGTATGAACCCCAATACCCAAAATAAAACAGATTGAGCTGGGATTAAAGACTATAAAACAGCAGATAAGCCAATCATGCGACTGAGGTAATATAAGTGTCTCATATCAAGTATATTAAAGGGTTTGTTTTCTTCACAATCCATCTGAAGCTCAGAACTCGACTTTGAGACAGAGACGGATAGACAGTTACGCAAAAATTAAGCGTAAGAATAAGCAGGAACATGTCTATGTTACTGGTCACTACATCGACCTAAACTTAGTTTGTAGTAAAACTTTAGGTAGAATCTTTCTCAAAAAAAGGTAAATTGACATCTCCTCTTCAGAGCTTATTCACTACCTTTGAAGTAAATCCGAGGCTCGCCCAAAGTAACTGAGTGCAATAAAGCACTCGAGTTATTCAAGTAGAGGACCTTCCTCACGACCGATATAAAGAAGGATGAGATGTGTAGGTCTATTCTGTGGGGGTTCTGCCTTAAAAATAAGTTGTTTACACCTCCAGCAGGTTAGAGACCCAACAACACAGATCACAGGGATGTGGAATTTATAATAATGGACAAGAATACGGTAATGATTACTGTCGAATCAACAAAAAACACGCTGAAGAGGAGCAGATAGGTTTTAGTGAATGAGATCACCGAATACATTGTATTTAATGCAGACAGACAAGAAGCTATCAAGAAGCCGATAGTATGCTTACGCCCTAGACAACGCTGAATGCAAGAGATAAGGAAACGGATAGGATATGCCAGGTAGTTAGAAAAGAAACGTTTCCGAGGCATAAAACTGCAATAAACTTGCCCCGTATTCAATGCAGACAACAGTGAGACAAGACTTTCACAGTAATTTCGAAGCTAAGTGGTATAGTTAGGTCTTGCGCAACTAAGATAAGGGAAGGTTAGCTGCGAAGACTAGAAATAGGATTCAGAATGGCCAGATTGCATTAATGAGAGCTATGGAACTCCTCCTCGAATACCCTTCAGGATCTTAGAATCAATATGACAGTCCACACCCATATATTGGAGATAATTGTCAAGCCTCAAATCTGGTTATTTAGCCAGGGGTTTTACATGCATCTTGTAGAACCCAAAAGTAATCGGCCGAAAGGTTTCCCACTCATAACTCCTTTGACGTTCGACCTTCTGGGTCCTATTTGTGTTACCGAGATCACCTACCTATGACTAGCATTCGAGGCATAACTAGTCCATTTTCTTATCCTGCCGACATAACGAAATGTACGTCAGCATTGCCGTTTCAGTTACCATCATGCTACTTTAATTTCGACACTAATTCTTTATCAATCAAAAGTAAAAAAGGAAAAGAGCAAATTCAACAACGAACTTTTCGATGAATTCATGACCAGTCAATGGCATTTCTATCATGCCTCCTTGGTCTTTCACTCAAGGTCTCACGTTGTGATTATCTATATCCAAACATTAGCGACGAATCCCAAGGTTTGCATCTAGGTCTTTAAACCGAGGAAGGCTTAGCTACAGCTTGCATGGCTCATGGATAAACCTTCATGATTATATTGGCCTCAGCACCTGGTATCCCAGCCCCCCTACTTTCAGCCGTTATAATGCACCCACCCACAAGAGCGCGGACTTTTGATGTCCCCTACTCAAAAGGGTGAATAAAAACCACTTTGAAAGACGCTGATCTACATTTTCAAAGGCATGAAAAGCTTGATTCAAGAGTAAGTTTTCACTTCAAACTGTGACTTATTCTTTAAACATTCTATTGGAATGGCCGATTAGCACACCAAGATCCGTCATGAAAGTAGGATGCAATCAGGCGTAAACGATTGGGAAAAATTAACCAAACATAGAAAATCAGGCCTTGAAATTCAAGAGATGGACAAGGAAGAATTCGTTTTTCAACTTAAGGGGAAAAATTTGCCCCGTTTTTCTTGAGAAGGACGCAGAAGTGTGAATAGAAAAGCATAAGTATCCATATTTTATGTGCAAGGTTAAGTAATTATTTATAATAATCTTAGAAGAGTCTAAACCAATGGACACACAAACTAGTTATAACTTTCATTGAGAGGCCATCTAGGCCAAAATTTAGCTGATAATGTTTTTGAGGTGACAGTTGATAGCTTGAACTTAGATCAGTATCCACAAGGAGTTGCCCTAACCTCACAAGGTCTAGGGTGTTTAGCGATCTATTAATCTTTCAATTTCAGCAGTTCATGGTACCAGTGGATTAACCGTAAATTACTCACAGTTGGTGGAATCAGAATTATGAGATGTTTTACCTTTGTTCAGTGGAAGCAAATTCAGTGTACCTGCTTCTCCGTCACCCCGATTGATTTCAAAGAGCCTAGTACCATTGGAATATTTGATAGGCTAGATCTCGCTAAATACATTCTTTTCATTACTATCCACCTTAATCTCATTTGCTCGATTCAAATCGCCTACCAGAAAGAGAATCTTCTCTCAAAATACCAAAACACGGTGAATTCAGTTTGGTAGTGACATTTCCTTATCCGCTAGACGCCTCTGCTATTGTCGATAATTCAAGTTGCTTAAACTGTGTCTGCCTTTGATTCCACGTTGGAGGTGACACTTAAAAATAGTACGAATTTTTCACTAATTCACCACAATTTTCGGAGAACCATAGAGTACAATGTCTATTTAAAGAGGTGATACCATCGATATTTTCGAGAGTCATGAGATGAACCCTGAGATATATCGACCGCTAAACTTAAATCCGACACCTCCAATCTGATGACCTCATATTCACTACTGTGAGTCCGTGCCAAGGACGAATAAGGGCTGCATTAAAGTTTCATGCAAAGCTCTCAACCTCACCAATTCCTTCCGGTTAATCGCATAGACCTTAAGTGACTTCAATCTAATTGTTTAACCGCCAAATGCGGCAGGTCATCCTTTCGATGGACAACTACCCATAGCTTCGTCAATTTTACCAACAAATTGCACTAATGCGATTCACTTTTACGTGAAAGAAGTGAAACTAAGCCAACTAATTAGTTGCTTTATCATAACGATGGATTTCAGACGATTAGAACGACATCAAACTTCACTAGCTATTTCCCAATTAGTTCCTGACCATCTTGGTTTATTTTAATGCTCAAAGCTGCTTAACAAACGCTGGAGTAAAAAAAAAAACAAAAGCACTTTCTTATCCCAAATCAATTAGTCGATTAACCCACCTTTTACAAGGATGAGGTTTAACAATGTGAAGTGAAGAGATGAAGGACAAAGTGACAGCCCTTGAAGTCAATCGTCATTTGTCAATGACTGTGGATGAAAGTCATTTGCCTTGCAGTTTCCACAACTTCCTCCTCCAGATCGATGTTAGTGTAAACTAGTTGGTCAATGATTCCCTATGCTGAACATACCTGGAAGCTGCCCTTCACGAGCAGTTCTTCATGATCGTCACATTCTCCAACCGCATCTTCTCTAAACGCTGCACAACAAGCGCTACGAGAAGTTTAACGTGGTTCGTAAAGCAGACAAGCTCCAATCCTACCCATCTAGTTCAATTGGCAGCTTATTATATGAAAGCAGGTTGAAAATGGGAGGAGAGTAGTAGAGAATGCAATAAAGAGCACTGTGTCGATGAGAGACTGACACACCTCTACGCTTTACGAGGCATGGAGATAAACAATCACATGGGTCTTACAACACCAAACCATTGGTTCGAGCTACACAGAAGACCGCACAAATTTGTTTTGTTACCTGAGAGCTCATTCTAACTCAGCACCATCCAACAAGACCCCAATCCAGGTCCTGAAGCTGAAAGATCATTTTGTGGAACAGCTAAGCTATCATACAGTTAATTTGTTGGCCACATTCCCGCTTGCTAACCGCTCCATTTTTCAAGGATTTAAATTTCCCGTTTTATTTGCCCTATTTAAACAACCAAACCTCGGATAAAAAATAATAAGACTTACCATCAACCGATTTCGAACATTATCAATAGCCAGTCTTCCTATGCATGAATTAAAATCATTAGGAATCACTAGAATTAACTCACCTCAACAGAAGCCACTGCCAATTCCTGTTTCCCATTCTCCTTGGCATCTACATCCACTTCGTCTACGGGCACATGCTCCTTCTCTGTCTCAGGGGGCTGTTGCGGTGACGGCAAAGGTCCCATCTCCACGCTCTCTGGTCTCACTGCCTCATCGGCAAACAGACTGTCCAGTCCCGGCAACGCTGCAGAGATAAACCTCGACACGATGGTGCGACGAAACCACGACTGGGGGTTCTGCGTCGTCGCTGTTGGACTTGCTCTATCCCCCTCCACTACCTCCGTCTGCATCGGTTCGGGCCTTGGTGAGTTGCCCTCCGCATCAGAGGAGACCTCAGCCACGGTCTGCATCGCCGAAGTAGAGCAAATTCCGCGGACCGAGGAGCGCTTTTGGGGCGAGGGGGACTTTGAGGAAGAAAAGGAGGAAAGAGAAATGTGGTTTCCTCCAGAGAGGTAGATGAAGAGATCATTGTCGACTACCAAAAGAAGGAGAAGAGGTGGATGCGTAATTCAATCATGTGAACCCTTAAGTCACTGCAGGTTTCAACCACAATCTTGGTAGTATGACGTCAGAAGCCTTTTGAGATAGAACTCCAGTCGCGCATTAATTCACAAATTTTTATCTGGACTCTTATACCCAATAAAATCTTCAGGAAGGACTTAGACGCTACACCGATTTCATTGGTAGGCAAATACGGGCAAAATAAGAAAACTCTGATTCTGTCAGATAGATACAAGAGAACAGAACAATCGTTGAAGAAGACACGTGCCGTAGATGGCAGAATCCGCTGTAAAGTCACGATGGGTCTTGAGCAGCACAAACTCAATGAAACCTATCGATCCAATGGATCTATCGAAATCGACAGGGCCCGTCATTAACGTTGGGATCAAATGTCCTCTCACCTCGTGCGATCATCGTTCCCGGCTCGTGGATGGTTGTAAGAGCACCAACACAGATGACTGGTCAAGGAGAATGACAAGGACGTCATTCAAAAGAGAAAAAAACAATGCATGCCTAAAATAAAATTTCTTTCGGGCGCATACACTTCCTATATCGTCCTCAAGGAGGACTCGAACCCTACAGTGACGGCAGCGGCAGACGAATCTAATACAAAGGATCATCAATCCTGAAACCTCTAACTGGACATTACGCCTAAAAATCACGGAAGGAGGGTATCCGGTGTGGATTCAAGATAAAGATTATCGAAGCTACACCTTCGGAGAGAACTCACGTACTCTATATATTGGTGAGATATTTACAGGAAGAAAAAGAAAAAAGAACTTACGATCTTTCGTGAGATTAGTATTATTTAGCACAGGGTCTGGTGGAGTGCCATTGAAGAGGTCACCAGTGGGATCTGTGTTACTGCGCAACGCAGCGAAAGGCATGTCCTGCAGAAGTTGGGTGAGGTAGGTATAACTAGAACTGCGACTGCAGGTACTCTCTTGCTGATTGACACAATCCGCCTGTTGACTACGACGTGAGACGGCCTCCGGGGAGATGCAACCTGAGGTGCAGTTGGCTCGACCTAGAGGACAGCGCTGGGCTTGAACCACATCTAGAGCGTAGAGTATTGCGTCTCTATAATGCAGTATTTCGGCTGGTTAGACCCTATTCAACCAAATAAATTCTTCACCCTACAAGTATTCGTGGTAGTGGTCAACCTTTATCAGATTGCGGGTTCGCAATTTGCTCAAATTTTGCATTCACCTAGAAAAATATCATCAGAAGGATAATGACGAATGAGACAGCATGAAATGGAATCTTTCTTCCGCCTACCCGAATGTGTGGCAGGAAGTCTTTTCAAGGGCAGATTTTGTAGCATGAGATCTTGTGCTGTACTGACCTGTAAGGCTAGCATTTTATTTAAACCAGTTAGCCCTGACCGTTCCAATTGGTTTCAGCAAAGGAGTTTTACTTAATGTGAATCTTTAAGTTATATCGAGTAGATAAATCTTAACCGCAACTGCCTAGCTTTCAGTAAGCGAATAATTCCTTCCTCAGTCACCTGAGGTTGTGAGATAGGTAGTGAGTGGACCATTCGGAGATAACCAAAAAGGATATTTGCGTTAGCTAAAAGAACGCTGAAATGCAAAACAAAAATCAGTGCATTTTCATAAATGCGAAGTAAAAAGTGGTGATCTAACAATCGTATTGTTATCTACGAATGCATGACATATAGAGGTCATTTGCCTTCTAGCCTCCATAACTATCGCCTCCAAGTCAATGTAGGTCCATCAGTTCCTGCTTTAACAAGGCCAATCTAACTGTAGAATCATTATGATCGAAATGCACCTAACCGCAAGTGGACTATGATTGAATTCATTTTTTACTTCCACTTCTGAGCCGCGTATTCGAGTGTCACATCCTACGGCTGCATCCTTCGGCTTCTGAGGCGAGCCCCACTTAATTCGCAGAGCAGACAGGCTACAGTCACATTCATCAGGTACAACAAACAGTTTACGATAATGGGGGTAAATTGAAACTAAGACGAGGAGTCGAGAGCCCAATAAGAGGAGCACCGTGTCGATGGTGGATGACACATATCCATGTCACTAAGGCACTGTATGCGTTTTACAAGTGCATATGTCACAGTCGAAAACTGTATGAACGCATTTGGTTGCCTAGTACTTGTAAGTTGTCCCAAGCACTAGATCATACAGTCAAACCGCATAATTTCGATCTTACAACGAGTCGGTTAGCCGAGAGATCAAGGGGAAAAACGATTGAATCGAATGAGGGTCCACATTTAAACCAAGTTTCAATTTAAACGGCAACATGAATGTCTGATGTCCTGTGGGAATAAATCCAGAGAAGCGACTAAAGTTTACCTAATTTGGGCAGGCAATATGAGAAAAAAGGATTCACATTCACTGCACAGGAATCAAAATATCCAGCGACCGATATTTTTGGTTTCCACTCGACCTAACTAGTAAAGACACACAGTACCTCTAAAAGTCCCCACAAATCTTGAAGCAGTATGAAGCTGTTAAAATTGAAGACAAATGACCAGTTGGAATGGGGATCTTTACGCACGTTTCTATGAACCATTCCCGATACAGTTCGAGCACAGAACTACAACTTGCCCAGGGTTGAGAAGACGAAACACTGCATCCTGATAGGGGAGAATTCGATAGGAACCTACCTGATCGTGTTCCGCTGATACCTAGAAATGGAAGAAGAGATAGATGTTACTTCTTTCAAGGATTGCCACACTGACAAAAAACGTGTGAGAAAATGAATTATTTAGAGGTTAACCCGGCGACAATTTATAGGAAACTTACTCAACTTAAAGGAGAGATTTGATAAGAATGCAATACTGGAAGGCGATTGATTGTATTAATTCTAACAAATGCTTTGAGGAGGCCAACAACTGATGATGAAAATACGTCACGAGAAAGTTATTTCACGATGCCTAAGGGCTCACACGAAATTTTAACACAGCGGGTCAACAAACACAATCTTTCATCTGATCAACAAAAGCAAATCACTAATAGGCAACAACTCCAGTGCATAAGGAATTACTTTGCGTAGGTAAAAACTAAACAGACACAGAAAATGTGGAAGAAAGCACATGATCACTTCAATGATGGCAGCGAAATTTAATTTAATGCTTTATATTAAAGAAAAATTGATGATTTACTGATCGGCCCATTTAGCACTACAACTTTCTGGCACTGAAAGCAAGTTAATTAACACCAAGGCTGTAAAATAGGGGGTTCTGTCCGACCTAACCCCCGGAAGAGTTAACCTCAGCCTATACCAAGGACTTCATTGCTCATTAAATGTTTCCAGCGAGGCGCCCGTGAGTTCATCAAATCTATCTCTTCTAACAGGTAAATTGAAAACAAATTCACGTAAAGAAAGAGCCGCTCATGGATAAGCACTCAGGCTTAAGTTCATCCACGACTTTAAGGACTTAGGAACAGCACGTATTGAGTTTGCTAGGCAATCATACGAGAGTGTGTTTCCCTGAGAACACTTCCATCAACAGTTTTAGCCCTTTAACAAGGGATTTAAGAACTTGGTATAGATAGTACCTTTGACCGAGAGGAACGCAAGCACAGGCTGTAATACAGTATTCATAAAGAGCTTGGACCCCGATAAGCAACATTATTTTGGGATTCACGGAACAGTTACAAGCAAAGCCTTTAAAAAGATTATTAAAAAAACTAGAGGCTTAGCATCCTGAAGCCCCGTAGCTTCCGCACAAGCCATGATTCTAGGTGAGAGGACTAGAACTCACACGTTAGATTCGTGCTGGCAGAGCCAGTGCCGTGGGGAGAGGCCCTCTGCGTCGGTGATGTTAGGATCTGCCTCGAAGACTATCAATGCATAAACGATGTGCACGTCCTGACATCGCTACAACAAAGAAGAACAAAAGGATGGTATTCCTTGCCATGTTCGCTCTGAAAAGCTATTCTAGTTAACAAAGGTAGAGTTCATATGGGTCATGAAATTTTCTAGATGGAACTCAGTGGGAGCACTCACATCTAGCGTCTGAATAAGGTTGAAGGGATGATCAAATACGAAGCACCCCAAATTGTTAGAAATATTTGAAACTTCTTTGCTCAAGCCGAATTTCCTGAGGCAATTAACAAGGTAGTGAGCGCGCCTCATCCATTGACAGCGAAAATACACAAAACACCCTCCTTCGTTTGCTTTGATCAGTCCTCCAAGTGAACAAAGGCAAGATTATCAAAGGCGAAAAAAAGTAAGAACAACATAATCCACAGCACTTCCTAACAAAAATCCAATATTGTAATATATCTTCAAAATAAAAGCTAGTTCAGCTAAGAATCCAGACAAAAATAGCCTACAGCGAAGTATTCAAGGGGACGATGAAATGTTAAATCACTAATCGGGGTTACAAAAAGTTGATGATCCTTACAGCCAACTGTAGACTGAAAAAATTGATAACAGTGAGTAGGTTTCTAGTTTGGTGAAAAGCAGGAGGATTCGTCTGACAGTCAATTGACCCGAACAGACAAAAGGTAAAGCCAATTGGTAAGATCAGAAGGACTTGAAATGTGGAATAGTGTCTTCAGGAAGCTGAACCATTAAACAGCACCATTGTATCAGTTTAAGAAACATTTGCCTTCGAAGTGTAAAGAGACCCTTTTAACCTAGTCAGCCACTGCAGCCAAGGTTTGTCAAGCGATTGTTCTTACAGTAGGGCAGAAAAAAAATGAAACATCGGCAAGAAATCGATCCAGATATCCACTTTCTTCATCTACTCCAAGCTATCCAAGCAAGTCCACTGGAAAGCATATCGTCTAGCTACTGTTGCATGGAGGTCTTTTTAAAGAATCAACAAAAATAAACAAAATAAGGGCAGTGAGGCAATTTTTTAGCAACCGAGATAAAATCGACAGCATTTAAAGCAGAATGTTGTGGAGATGTCGCCTGTTTAAATGGTAAATCCCATGTTTCATTTCAAGGCAAAACCCTGCGTCTAGGCGAGAGGGAATTGGGAGGATCGAAATCAGTAAAGTTAAAAAAATTACCTAACGAGTAACAAAAGACCTTTGCAAAGTTCATTTTTACCAAGTAGAATAAAAAAAGAATATACACTTTAGAATCACGACCAAGATTTGTGCTTACATAATATTATTAGTCGATATTATCTCTAGGCGAGGCAAATCTTCTTCAAACAAGGTTCCACAAGGAAGGAAAACATGCAATCGAGAATATGCAAGCAGGGTAGCCAAAAAATCTGTTGGCAATCATAGAGACGTACAAAGTGCTTGGAAGGCATAGAAGGATATCAGCATACTGGAGCCTACCTACTTTCCGAACTGAATTCAGCTCGGTTTCAAAGCTGTAGTGGCTCCTCTCAACATTTGGGGACGGTGTGGTTGTGGAATACGGTAGCGAAACGTATAACCTAGAAATTGTTTTAAAAATGTGACTCTGGTGATGAATAATCAAAAACAGACTCATTATTTTCAAAAGACTCCGTTACGAGGCACCACTGATTACAATGGCGACAACTTGTAGGCATGCTTAATGTGAGCCATGATGAAACTGTTGACATCTGCCTACAACAACTCAGAAGAAATTGTAGAAGGTATCAAACAGATGGATTCCACAGCTTGTGCATTAATATCAGGTGGTAGACAATGGAGATTCGTTTGCTTATCGTTCTGCGCATCGCGTTATGAAAGTGTCGCACTGGAAAATGGACGCCTGATTGGCTTGTGATAGGAGATGGCTGATGTATTTCATTACAACGTTTGTTGAGCAAACAAACATGGCATCGTTTGGGTATCCCAAAAAATCCACTCATTGGCCGCTGCCCACAACTGAACTCTCAAAAGCTCATGGTGTGTGCATGTGATGGACCGCAGGCGAAATCGCGAACTTGTTGAGTAGCTTGCTTCTAGGTGCAAAAAAATCCCTTCATCAAAAGTACTCCGGATTTGTCGATTAGCCAGAAGAAAGTGCTGTCCGGACCAGGGGACGCCGACTCACATACCGCGTTTTGGGGTGGGGAAAATGGAAGTTCTGCCTCAAGGCGCTTCATCGCCAGTCTTCCCCAAGCAATGTTATTTTGGGTAACGATTATCGCTTGATCTTAGCATAGGATATAGCCATTCACATACCAAATATAACAAGGATAGAAGCAGGAGTAGGGAAAACCAGATTCTTTAACTTCTAGACTGGATATATTTCATAAAAGTGGAATTCACGGTCACTTTTGTCTCCCCTGAGAAGGGACTGCAGACTATTGTCTTTGGTGGTGGCAATATTAACCAGATTCGTATTGCTTGTAGTATCAGTCTCAAAAGTTCGGTACGCTAACAATAAATTTTCTTCCGTACACATTTATCTTTCAAATCGTAGATGAGTGTAACTTGAAGACCGCGGAGAAACATCCATTACTGTGAATTTTTACGATCCCAAGGGATCACGTCAAAGTGAGTGGCCAAAACAGATGCCTTTTTGATCTAAGTTACACACCACAGACCTATTTGAAGGGAAAATAAATGCAGGATAAAACAAGGAAGGGAAAAAAGACAATGCACAAAGATAAACAAATATAACCTTAGCATTAAAACCATAAGTCTAATCTATCAGCTTTTCAAACAAATACTCCCAACTAAAGTGCCAAATAAGTAGAATTCATTTCACTGAAACAACCAACTTTTTAAAAAGACATATCTTGATTTTAAACCTGCGTCTTATTTACGCATAAGAAAATTTGCCATTATGTCCTCCCTACTCCTAACTAGGGAACAATAAGCAGAACCAATTTAGCTGCCAAATAACAAATCAGAAATGGGACTACTTTCGAGGCAAGGCAATATATAATCTCTTGTGAGAATAAATTGGGGCATAGAAGGCTACCGGGAGTCTTCCTGCTGTGATGCGAACACATCTACGCCACCTTTGAGAGACGAAGTGAAAACTACTTTGAGTGCCTGGATTTGGTCTAACTATTCGCTATCACCATGTCGCAATCCTCACACTGGTCGCAAATAGTCTTGGCCATGCCAGCCTCTCTGCGGTGGTACACCAAGCTCATTTAAAAACTTGCGCGCCTTTATCCACCTTCTAGATGCCTCAGAGACCAAACTCCATTCCAAGCTGCTATTGTAAAATACCAATTAAATCAAAAAGAGGACCTGGGGATACCACAGAAAAATCACTTATCACCTCTTGTGTGATATCAAATCTCAACTCCGCATAAGTAGAGACAAACGAACTAAAGTACTGGCATTCAAGAAGAAAGAAGGCTCAACTGTTTAGGTAAAGGGAAATAGAAGAATTGCTACAAGCCTCCGCCTCCCCCTCCACTGCATGCAAGCTTGCATCTTGCCCTTGGGCAAACCATGTCCAAAAGCGCTCACTGTCTGATGCCTGCATGAATTCCCCCAAAAAACGACTCGCCGTCTAGACGGTGTACAATGAGCAATTCGTCTAGGACTCTCCCCACAGGGGTCCACATTCGATACCACGAGAAAATGTAGGCTACCACGTTCTGATGATTACGCAATTTTTTCATGCGCCTATTTCAAGCATCCTCGCTTCTAGTCCTCCAAATCTACACTGACACTGGGGAAGAAATTGAAAGATCACGTTCGGGAAAGGATGCAATCCATGTATATGGCTTACGAAGCCACTAACTAAACGCTGGACCCGCATAAGTGGTAAGGACGCATAAGGTAGCTAAATAAGTTCATGCGATTTTTTGTGGCAGAAAACCAAATAATTGTAAGGAGCTTTTTAAAGTTTTTTATTCATTGAAATAACCACCATTAGATTATGTGATTCCCCAACAACGAGAAAAAAGCTTGATGCGATTTGAGAAGCAAAGAACCTAATCCTAGCCATCTCCATTACTATCATACTTCTCAGCTGTCTGATATTAATGCCGAGAGAAGGTTACAATCAAAAATGACTGTCAATGGACTACGAAAGACGAAGAAGTATCTACTCCTACTCTAAAGCAAAAATCATTTTATGGATGGATACAATAGGAAAAGCGTCCAAAGATTCAAAACCAGGTTCAATTCGGTTGGTAAAGCAGACAAAGTCCATTCACACATATCAGGTTCAACTGACATTTCATGACATGATAATGGATCCAGTGTAAGGAGAAAAGAGGAGAGAGCCCAAAAAAAATAGTACCACATCGACAGGTTGACGCACATTTCAGCTGTTTACAAGCCCATAAAACTCGAGAAAATGGGAAAACTATATTTAAAAGCACACAATATTTTGGGTTGAACGGAACTACTAAATAAGAAAATGGTAAGACATGAATCAGTAATGAACAGCCAGCACAAAAGGACAATACATTCATCGGATATGCACATAGAAACGAGTAATCAGTCCCAGATTCCGTGATGCATCAATGCTTGTTAGCCTTGTATAGGCAAAATCCTAATCATGTTTAAAAGAATCGAAAGTACCCTTGAAAACGTGTTTAAAAAGCTGTAGGGAAAAGGTACTTCATGCCCTTGATCTGGCTGCACGACAGCTCCTTCCCTTCGTGCTGCTTGCACGCAAATGTTCACATAAAACGAATTTGGCAAATAAATCGCGCCCGCTACAGAACATGGTGTGACCTCTGCCTTCTTGGTGAGGATCGATTACGAAACAACGCAAGATCTCAGTAGCATCCAAATCTACGTCACGTATCAACACGTTAAGATGGGAATTCATCTAATTAGACCAATCAACAGTCTAGGCCAAAAGGTTATTTCCACGAAGATACCAAATATCAACAGTCAGACTGAGCCAGCCAACAGCCCCTCTGATCTAGGACGAATGGAAATTGCTTAGCTTCGGCATTCTATTAATCCCTACACCAAAATGATTAGGCACATACCGCAGCAGCCAGATGGAGAGGATAAATGCCACGATTGTCTGCTACATTAACCTCGGCCGCGTGGATAAGAAGTTGCATGACGGTGTCGAGATCCTGTTCTTGCACTGCCTGATGGAGCACTGTACGCCCCTCGACATTTTGCAGGTTTGGATCCGCACCCAGCTCTAGTAGGTGGTTAAACATCTACAGTGGGGGAAGAAGTATTCGGTGAGTTACTCGGTCTTACTATTCATGAAAATTATCACAACCAGCCCGGAGCTTAGTCTGATTAAAAAAACGCTGGGCGACAACTGATTGCGCGAAAACGGAGCAGCGTTTCATCACAGATTTTAAAAGGTAGGAAAACCTGTATCAGGGATAAAGAGTTAACTCCACTGATGCAGTTTCAATGAAGGCATAGGGTCGCATAGTGATGACAGTGTCGAATGCTTAAAGTACAATGAATCAAAAGCTGCTCACTGGTAAGGAGCTTTTCAAACGGTAAGGTGAGGCAAAGGGGAGTGGTAGTTTTTCGCGTTTTGAGCTCTCTACGTCAATGTCCCCTTTTGGAAAACCGGTTGCCCATATTGTAAAAAGATTTTGGGTAAATCGCAGACAGGATTAGGTGGAGTCACATACCTGCCCCCGTCGCAAGTGCTTTTAGTACAGAGATAAGATGTTTTTGAGTCGAATCGCCTGTAATCAAATTGAAAGATTTGAAAGCAGACCTACAGTGCTTTGAACATCCAATCGACTATAGGTGCGAGCACAAAAAATCAAGGAATCGTGAAGCCAGAATTACAATGGCCGAAGAATTTTTAATCTAGCTCATAAAACTCTTAAGCATGTCGCAGCTAGAAGCCCGACTACGTGTTAAAACATTCACACTGTAAAATTAATTTAATCCAGAATAAGTGGAAATGACGGGAGAAGGCTAATACAGAGGACATTTGGGCGATTTCGCATGAAAGGTGCGGGAATTCTTGGACGACACTCTAACACCGCCTAAGAAATAAGATGACGGTTCTTTGAGCATCTTGGCTATTTCAGAAGATGAACGAGCATCCGTTCACCCTACCTATGCTACTATACATGCCTATTAAAAGTAGATTATCAGGCGTATAAGCCTCGTGGTGTCTTTTGGGATAACTCGAGCGGGAGAATTACCAGGAGGATACTTGATCTACTTTAATATTCTACCACACAGGTTCCTCTCTCAGGTTGCTAAAGCCAATTCCTGATCATTGGCTAATCCAGTCATCGGCTAGTAGATGGAACCACGAAGCAAGAAGCACGCGAAAGCTTCCGACTGAAGGGCAAACTTCTGGAACCTTCCTAAACAAGAGTTTTAGCTGGACTTCTCGAAATTTCGATTATGTTGGTGGATCGCCCATACCATCAAGCAGATGAGTTAGCCTTACGGTTAAAATTTGCCTCACAAATCGCTCATTGGTTACCATCGCTTCAAGAAGCTAATTTGACTCCCGATTGGAAGATTTTGCCCACAACAAATAAGGGACAAAAAACGTCAAATAGAGGGTTAAAACTCACTTGTTTCTTCTTTGCGATATGTAGGGTTGACAACTTTTTATCACGAGACTGGAGATTAACCACATCTGGGTAGTAGTTGCACAACAGATCCACGCAGCTATAGAGAAAATGGTATAAAAGGAAAATAGTGTAAAATAACCCGAAAAAGGGTTGTGAAGTTTTTTTTTTAAATTGAGTTTCACACAGCCGAGGAAAGCTTTATCAAATCCGTCGTTTGTTGAAAAGATCGTCATTAAGAACACATAATCCCGAACCATCTCCCAACAGACCACAATTTTGCTGCGAATTTCCGCTCAAGAAAGTAACTGAGCCTATCCGCCTCCGTCTTCCCATCCCACGTTAGTTATCCCATTTCCTGTGCAACCGAGTGATTGTCTAGTGGCAATACCAATGGCAAGGGAAGAGAAATACGGATAACACGACAGGAAGATAAATCATCTCCCTTCTTTCTGGTCCCAGATGCGGTTCTAGATTTTAGCATGCTTTGTGGGCTTTTTGGCCTCCTTATGCTTTAAGAACCTAATTAAGATGACATTGCGGCACGGATAAAGTATGAATGAATGCAAATGATATTTGAAGGCTAGGATCTAAACCTGACACTGTAGAGCGACTAATGGAATTCGATGACTAGACTTTTGAAAACTGACTTTCGTAGGAGC